GCGCGCGCGGCGGCGGCGCGGTCTGCTCTGCAGCTCCGCGAGAGCGGGAGGGGGGCGCCGACTGGGAGGGGAGGGCGAGGCTGGGGGCGGGGACGGCGCAAAATGGAGGCGCCTGACCGAAAGGGGGCTCCCTGTGGCGCGCCGCCGCGGGGGTGGGACCTGGGGGGCCCGACGAGCGGGTGGATGGCTCTGAGGACTCTGGGAAACCCTAGCCTTGGGGTTGTAAATGTGGGGAGACCCTGGAGGGTTTGGAGCTCCTTCTTTTCTCCACAGGGCTGGCGGTAGGAGGGGGCGGGGGGGGGGCGGTGGAAGGAGAGATGGAGCCGCCTCCCCGCGGCCCCTTTTTTCACCGCGCGGGGAGGGGCCTAGAGGCAAGAGATGGTGGCACTGGACCCAGGCAGCGGTTGAGTGAGGCTGGCCTCGCTCTGCCGTCTCACTGACCCCCAATACCTCAAATGCCAGTCTATATACCCTAATCCACGTAAACACACCCCAGTTTAGATTACACCCCAACTAACCGCATGCACCAATTCACATTCAACCCCAACTCACAAATACAAAGTCAGAGCCACACCTCAAAATTTACAATCTTTAACTTACACACACCCCTACTCACACACGTACAAATCAGACAGCCCATTCTGAGTTGTAAAACTCAACTCGGACACATACTTTAAGCCCAAAGCATAGCCCAAATCAACCCCCTTGATTCACGGACACTCGGAAAATCACATCTGTACAACCCAGCTCACTGACACCTCCCACCCGCAATGGACACTCCCCCTCAGATAAACTCCCACATCCAGACGCCCAGCACCGCCCAAGCTTAGCAAGCACACTCACACGCACAGTCTCAGTACAGGTCTCCCTGGGCAAAACACCACCGGTCAGGCAGAGGATTGGCCCCAAGTCCAGGCTGCTCCCACCCCGACCTGCCCCGGGGCGGCTAACCTCCCTGAGGGCTGGCGCGGGGGCGCGACCACCCACCCGCGAGGGACCAGAGCGCAGTGCTGAGTCCCAGCTCGGCGCTAATTTCCTGCGAGACCTCGGGGCAGCCTTTGTCCCTCTCGTGCAGGGGTGCCAGGAGGGTCTTTGCGGCCGGACACCGTGGGGCGGGGAGGGGGGAGCGGCGGGCCTGTGCGTCCCCGTACCCACCCCACACCGGCGCCCCCGCCCATGCTCCCTAAGCACTCGAGGAGGGGCAAACGCAGGGTCCTGAGCCGCCAGATCACGTGTTTTCTAGAGCCTTCTCGTCTCCCCCGCTGCGCGCCGCCGAGGCTGCGGGCCAGTGCGCATGTTCCCGGAGAGCCGGCCCTGCGAGGGGGCCGAGGGGAGGGGAGGGGAGGGGGACCCCAGGGGAGGGGGGGCCCTGGCTGAGTCACGCTAGTCCCGACTCCCGACTGCCTGGGCTGGGAGCCCGTAAGCCCCAACCTCAAGCCCCTCGGACCTGACGCAGCTGACCACTACATCGCCTCTCCCTCCCCTTCTCAGCCAATATTCTGCCCCGCCCCCCACCTTGAGCAGCTCTCTGGGAAAGTCGCCGCCTTCATTGAGGCCCTCCAGGTTCCCGATGAAGTCTCCGCAGGTCATGCGCTTCCCGATGTTCTGTGAGAGAGCACAGAGGTCTGTGACTTGGGGGCGCTTATGGCCTCCCAGCCCTTTAGGTCTCTGGGCCAACTGCCAGAGGCTGGGCTGCCTCGAGCCCTCCCTCCCGCGCGCCGAACCCCACTCACATGACCGTGGAGATCTGTGTTGAGGAGCATGAGGGCGCAGGTCAGCGTGTGCGCGCCGTCTAGAAGAGGGTTAACATTCAGCCTCAGCCCCCTTCCAGGGACCGTTCCTACAGGCTCTTCCCCCCCTTCCAGGTCACGCCCTATCCCCTTTCAGGCCTACAATTCGGCCTACAATTACTTTTGTAGTCTTGAACCCCACTTGCAAATTACCCTCAAACTTTTTTTTTTCCTGCAGAACCCGCAGCAGGGACCCTTTCATTGTCTCAGGTCACCCTTCCTCACTGCCTAAGGTGCTGGGCACTGCACACCTCTGACTATGCACTAAATAAGCAATTGGGCCCCACGCAGGCATGCAGATCAATAGAGCCAGACAACCCACACTGAAGCCAAGCACTGTCCTGCACGTGTGTTGAGCAACGGTGTGCAAACACACCTGTCCCCTGCCTCATCTCACACACACCATACCCTGGCAACAGGCCTGCCGTGTGCACAGCTCACATCCATGTGGCCATGTCAGCTCTGCACATGTATGTGTTCACATGCCTTTAAGCCTGTGCGTTTGCTCCTGAACGCAGACCCCTGCTCTGTACTCACAAAGGGCCCCTCTGCCTTAATGATCACCAAGGACAGCCCTGCCTAGCCTCCTCACCCTCTGAGGACAGGGCTCCAGGATTGCACTGGAAGTATCTCTGGGAGAAGTGGGCCAGCACGCGCTCCCGTTCTTGTGTCTCACCCATTAAGGCCAGCTCCTTCAAAAACACCCTGGGGAGGGGGAGAAAAGAAAACTGTCAAGCCCTAACCCAAGTTTCCCTTTCCAGGCAGCCCTGGCTCTTGGCTATGCCCAGCCAGTTTGGGAAGGGTAGCATCAGGGCAGCTTAGGGGAGGCACAGGGCTCAGAGGAGGCACAGGGGGGACTTGCACGCAGGCTTGGAGAGCCCTAAAGGGCTCACCACCCACCTGAGAGCTTGGTCCAGAGTCATGCCAGTGAAGACAAAGAACTTGAGATACTCGCCAGCCACAAGTTTGCTGAAGTCATTGCTGTGGGCAGGGCAGAGAGACAGGTGGAGTCTGAGGGGAATGTGTCAAGAGAGCAGTTGGGGGTTACCTAGAGATATGGGGGCATAAGGCAGAGGGGTGTGGAGGAGCTCCCCTGAAGGATGTATTCCTCCTCGCCCCCTCAGTCCCAGCCTGGTGACTTTACTTCTTGCCCAGATGCCGAGCCACATCAGCCTTCCTGAAGCCATCTAGTCGGTACAGCCTCTTAGCCAGGCGCTGCGCGGCCTCCAGGTCTGCCTTCTGCCCACTGGGCAAGGTGTCTGTGCTCCCCAGGGCCAACCGCTCTGTGCTGTCCAGCTCTGAATCTGAGTCAGACACCAGCTGGCTCAGCGGTGGTTCACTGCCAGGGTAGAACAGCAGCTCAGAGGTAAGGTAAGGTAAGGTAGGCCCTCAAGGGCCCTCGAGGTCCCCTCTGCCTCCAGGCCCAGAGGACAGAGGAGGACTGAGAGGGACATGGAGAAGGCATTTTTCTTTTCCCTCTGTCAGCCTACTCCATCGCTCTCTGTGAAGTCCTGCCCCAAATCTAACCTACATTCATCTTGCTGCTATGGAGTTCTGGCAGTCTTCCTAAAGCCCCCAAGTTTTCTCTTAGAAAAAGATTCCTCTTGCGCAGTGGGTGGGCTAGGACACAGAACTGCAAGCTGGGTGCAGCCGCTACAGTGTAAGTTTGATCTGGCCGCAGCCCCTGGAGGTGATCTACATGGCAGAGCAGATCTCTCCTGTCCTCTCCTTTCTCGCCCGCTGCTCCCCTCAGCAGTGTACTTCTTCGATCTGCCTGTTCTGCGCCCCACTCTGTCTCTGGTGAATCCTCTCACCGCCCCTGCACCTCTGGCCTGTACCCCAGCTCTGTATGCATAAATAAATAAATCTTTAAAAAAAGAAAAGAAAAAGATCCTCCTTCCCCACATGGTCCCTACTCAACAGTATAGTCCTTTGTGTCTGAGAATATGGGCAGTGGCTGGATACACAGGCTGCCAAGGAGGAACAGTGAAGGGTCACATAAAAATTTGAGGGTAGCAGGGACACCTTCCCACCTTCCTGTCTTTCCTCCTCCCACCTATCAGGGAGCGAAACCTCTGCGTTGGTCCCTCTCTTCCACTCACAAAGAAGCAGGCTCTAGAGCAGAGGGGACTGGGGGTCAAAGTGCACCCCATCTCCCCCTGTCTCCTCCTCCCCTTCTTTTCCCACCCCAGCTGCTCTACTCACAAAGCCACCTGTCACCCCAGAGACAGAGGCCGGAAACTCCTGGTTGCTAGGCAACGCTGTCTCCCTGGCCACCCCCTCCTGTTGCCATGGCTTCCATGACTGAGAGGGTAGCTGGCAGAGGGGAGAGCAGAAAGGTTAGGCTGGTGAAAGGACTTCCTGGAGAAGGGTGAGAGTCTCCTGAGTGGAGGGGGAAGACATGACCTGAGAGAGGCAGTGGGAGTGTCTTGTGGCTGCATCTTTGAGAGAAGCCTCCGGGTTGGGTGGGGTAAGTTCACAAGAATTCTAAATAGGTAGAGACTTCATTTAGGAAGGGAAAGGCCCTCATGGAGAGAAAGGAGGGTGATCTCTGCGGACCTTCATTACTGAATCATGGTTTCTCAAGTCACTGGCCCTGAAACCCAGGGGACCGACTGTGAGGGTTCCCTCTCATAGCCCATGGAAGTAGTCCTCCAAATGGGCGGGGATGTAGTCATCTGTATCCCTTACCACCCCTCCTCAGGGATCAGGCATGTAAACTACATACAGCTTTGCTCTGTCCTTTGGAGCAGCTGTTCCTGGGGCCCTGGAAGCCTCAAGTCCGAGGAAACAAAGGAGTCACTTACCTGCCCAATGGTGCTGCCCCCAGCCCAAAGCTGTCCTCGGAGTGGCAGGGACTAGGGGGCTCCCTCCCTGGGCCCGGCTTGGCTCCAGCCTCTGCCTCCTCTTCTTCCCCTCTCTGTGTCCAGGGACCATCAGCAGCAGAACTAGTACCAGAGTCTGGTTCAAGAGGGGCAAGTGGGGCAGGAACAGGTGGGTCAGGCCGGGGGGCAGGGGGCTGGGGAGGCAGGTCAAAGGTGAAAAAGGGGCTCTGGGTTGGGCCAGGTGAGGCCAGAGCCTCCAGGGAGGCCAGGCTGGTGTAGGAGGTGCCTTTTGCCCGATGTGACTCCAAGATGGCTTCAAACAGACAACTGAAAGAGTCAGGCCCCTCAGCTGAAGGGCTGGTCCCAGGTAGGAAGGGCACCGGAGACTTAAGAGGCCCAGAGTGAGGCATCTGGGGGCCCGGCCTGCAGGGGCAGAGAAATCACTGATAAGAGGTGCAGAGTCTTGGGTAGTATTTCACTAACCTTTCACACTAAGGGGGATTATCAAACCTCCTTCATAGGCCTCAGCCTCCTTAAAATGCTAGGGGGTCCCACAACAGGGTACCAAGTTGTCAGGGCCCAGGAGCACTCCAGCTCTATCTGTCCCCAGCACCCAGTCCCTCCTTCTTTCCCTCCCTGCTAATCTCCCTCTCTCCTTCTTCTCCCTGATCCTCTCCCCTCCTGCCATCCTATTTCTATTTTTGGCAACATCTTAGGAGAACAAGATGAGGCTCCTAGCTGTGACGGGGTGTGAGACGGAGAGGAAAGCTCCCACCCTCCCCACTCTGCTGCCAGGATCCAGGATCTCAATGAACGCTCCCCCCTCCCCAGGCTTGATTCTGACCTCTGGCCCATCATACTATCCCCTGTTCTTTACCATTTTCTTCTATCCTGGCTGCCCCCTACCCTTTTGGGTTCTTGGTGAGGCCACTACCTGCCCAGTATTCTACCATGCCTCAGGATTCTGTCCAGAGCTTCCTGTTACCACCATCAGTTTAGAACAGACCCTCCCAGCCTCATTCTCATCTCTATTCTGGTCTTTTTGATCTCAGCTCTGTGTCTCGGCCAGAGGAGGAGCAAGCCATTTTCCTCTCTCATTCCGCCACTCACCGGGCCCCATCTGAGGCCTCAAACACCTCGTCGTCCACATCTTCTCCACCTGCCTCATCGTCATCCTCGTCACCACTGCCCAGGCTGGGATGAGAGCCAAAGCATGGGCTGGGACGTGGGGCGAGTGGGCGGGCGGTGCCAGGAGGGCCCTCAGAGCTGGGCTGGCTCTCGATGGCAGAGTCGGCCTCTTCCCGCTCAGCCAGCACCTCATCAATGTTGGTCTCACGGTAGCACCTCAGGGGCACTGTGTCCAGGTCTGTCTCCGAGTACTTGGCTGCTCGCCCCACAGCCACCCCAGAGCCCTGCCCTGAGCCCACACCTGTTGGAGATGGGGAGGCCTGCTCTGGGGTCTTAGCACCTGCAATATATATAGGTATCCCAATCAGGAGTTTACCCAGGTCAGCTCTCTGTCCTAATTCTCTTCTAGGAAGGAACGCTCCCCTAACACTTTAAGTCAGGAAGTGTTTCTACTGTCTAGTCATCGTTTCTCCTGCTACGAGCTCGGCTTGTTCTTGCTGCCACTCAAGCTCATTTCCAATCAATTTCTTTTCAAACAGATTTGAGAGGCCTGAGGGTTATCCTGTCACATCCTTCCTCCTCTGCCCCACTCCCTTGAAGTGTCCAGATCAGTCACCACTCCCCAAAATCCCTGCCACAAGATAAATGGAAAGGGTACGTCCTGGGGAGGCATTAGCCAACCCAGAAGCCAGGAAAAGGCTGGGGATGGTATAAAGGAAGGGTCCCTGCCGAGTTTCAGTGCTGTGGAGAAGGCCCTGCCCTCTTCCCCTTCCTCAGCCCCGGCCTTACCTGAGCTGGGGGGGTCCAAGGTACCATAGAAGAATTCCCATTTGGCTCGAGCAATTCTCTGGGCATGAGAGGAGACTTCCCGGGGGGAGGACCAGGTGTCCCCCTAAGCCAAGGAGGGAGACATAGACACAGGCACCCAGAGATAAAGCCAGATATAAAAGATACAAGAACATGAAATAGAAGCACAGAAAGAAAAACACTCAGGGACAGAGATGTTTGTGCAGAAACAAAGGGACAAACACAGAAGTCGAGAAGAAGACAGATTTATGACAGATTGAAAGATTCAGAGCAAAGAGCCCACAGGTCTAAGGTGCCAAATCTTGCCTCTTTGCTGGGGCTCTGGGTTCCAGGGAGCCCAAGGAAGGTCACATACCTGGTTCCGGAGTCCAGTATCAGCAGGTCCTCGGAATAGTGTGGCCAGGTGCTCAGAGGGTGCCCCCAGCCCATTGGGGAGAGAAGAGTAAAGGCCATCTGCCCCGGACTGAGGTTGGGCTGGGGGCCCATGTAAAAGGCCCTGGCTGCCAGGCAGAGCTGAACCTCCTCCGGCTGGGAGTGGATCTGAAGTAGATGCCTCCAGTCGCAACTTTCGATTGGAGCCAGGCCCAAGGGCTGGTGTGGGCCTGGGAGGAGAGACCCCACCCAGGTCCCAGCTCCGACTCAAGCCTCCCGGAGCAGGTAGCCCATTCAGTGGCCTCACACTGGACTTCTCCACAAAGCGGAATATGACCACAGAGCTCCGGGCCCCTGGTGGAGGCTGCCCAGTGGGTGAAGAGGGCGCCCAGGGCGAGGGAACAACACGGGGTGAGGGGGGTCCACGCAGGGGAGTACAGGGTGCTGTCACACGTCCCAGTTCCCGGCCTCTGGCGCCTGGACCTGCCACCCTCCGTAGCAAGGAGCCTGTACTGCCATACATGCTGGCAGGGGGGCTCTGGGGCACTGGGCCTTCGGGGAGCCAGCGGCGTGGGCATCGTGGCGGGGAGATGGCACAGTCGCCTTCTGAGCAGAAGCGCATGGCACTCTGGGCCATGCTGGAGCCGGGGGGTCAGGCTGGGGGGGCAGGGATGGCGAGGCAAGGCGGGGAGTGAGGGGGCAACATGCTCTTCAGACAGGCCTGCAAGAGAGGAAGGGGAGCAGGGGTGAACTGCCAGGGACTTAGATGGGCAGGAGAGCAGAAACAGGGAGAAGAAATCTGGCTGAGCACCAGGGGCCTGGCCCACCATGGAAGTGTGGGATCACTGATTCCACCCCTGGGGGTGATCAGGTCTTCTGCTTGGGCAACTTCCATAAAGGTATAAGGAGAAAAGAGCTGTCTCCTCAGTGGGCTCCTGGCTCCTCTCCTTCTCCCTGAGGGGCCCTAAATATCACCCTGGGAGGAGAGGGGGAGCTATTTCAAAAGTAGAGTAAGCTCAAAGTCCCTGTAACATTTTGAAATTACTTCCGGTAGGAGTAGGGAAAGGCCTATCTTTCACCCCTCTGGACCAGGAATGTCAGCCAGCCATCACCACCGTAAAGCCCCTCCACACACATTCCCTCTATGGAGGCCCCTCACTCAGAGAGAGAGAGAGAGAGAGAAAGAGGGTTAGGACTCCAGGAAGGAAAAGGAGGAAGGGGAGGCCTGAGGAGATTGCCAGAGGCCATATAGGGAACATGAGGGGCTGAGAGGCATAGGGTGGAGGCGAGGAGAAAGGCCTAAACAGAGGCCCCAACCCCAATACATACATGCAAAATGGGAAAGGGATATTATTATTCTCCACATGGGTATACATACTTCATGTATGTACACATACATAAGAACAAATTTGCCGTACCCACTGAAACATGTTCATAGCAACACCCTCTAGCATACAGAGACACAGGCATACACACACACAGTCTCAAAGACACACCCTCATACACACTCTTACGGTCATAACAAATATTCATGTAATGGAAAGGCACATGCTTGTTTTACACACACATAGACATCAAGCAAGAACACACAAAGAAATACCCAAATATATATACTGGTTCTCATTCTCCAGGGCGCACAGGAGACACAGACATATCAGACATAGAGACCTACTGGTCACAATCACGTAAATACAGATGAACATGCACAAATACTTAGGCAGGGACACACACCCTCTCCCTGCCCCCACCGGTCTCCCATATCTGGAGGGGAAGGTTGCATCACACCTCTCTCCCACCCTCCTTCCAAGGAGTATAATAGATCTTGTCTAGTCCAGAAGGGGCCACAAAGGGGTAATGGGGCCTCTGGTGGCAATGAAGGGTAAGGGCACAGGTCGGGAGCAGCAACCCTGCCAGGCAGGTTCCTGAAGCTCAGTGGGTTGCCCAGCGCACAGCCCAGACTGGAGCCGCCTCAGTACTCACCGCTGCTCGCCTGGAGCTGGGGCCGAGGAGAGGCTGGGAGAGGCTGGGCCCAGTGCAGCTGTGAAGGTAGCGCGGCTCCCGCTTGCTCCCGCTTGCTCCAGGCCCGCCCGCTTCTCAGTCCCTCCTCCTCACCCCTACGCGCCGCTCGAGCAGAGCTAATCCCCCCCCCACCCACCCCACCCTACCCAGCCCCGCCCCGCCCTCTCCCCGGGCCCTGAGCCCCAGAAGCAGTCCCCACCAATACACGCAAGGTCTCCGCTGGGCTCTCCCGCCAACCTGAGACCCGCCCCTGAGGGGGAGGACGTTCGGGAACCTCAGCGCATCAGTTGCCCCACCCCAATCTTGTCCATATCCCTCTCCTCTACCGGCCCCAGAGCCACAACGCAGGACCCAGCTGCACACGCGTGTCCCCCTCCAGACTCTCCGCGTGTCCCTAGGAGGTTGCCACATGACCTGTTACATGCCACACTCGCTCCCGCCCCCACAAGCACGCGGCCGTGCCAACCAACATGATATGGGTGTAGACTGGACCCGCCCCCTAAATTCAGGAGACCATTAAGTTATGGACGAGAGATCTAGGGAAAACCGGCTCAAACCTTCCGGAATTCTGAGGCTCAGACCCAGAAGACCCAGAAGATCCAATCTTGACCACCCACCCGGATGCAGCAGGAGGGATGTTAGTCAGACTTTAGAAAGAACTTCCTTGCCAACTGAGTTTGATGTCCATTCTATAAGGGGATAAGAGGTCAGATGAGATAATGACAGAACTGGAAGAAATAAGAACCAGGCAACCCTGTGCCCTTGGTCAAGGTAGCAGGGGGCCCAGTTATTTAAAGAAAGCGCCGCTAGAGTTACTATGGCAACCTTTCCCATAGGAAAGGCCAGGAAAGGCAGGTGGTGACCTCCGAAGGAAGAAGTGGTCTGTTTGGGATGTCCGGGTGCGCGAGGACGTGTCAGGAGGGGGTGCGCGGGGCTCACCGCGGGGAGGGGCGGCGCGGACTCCGCGTGGTGCTGAAGGGGACAGCGCCAGATTTGTCGCACTGCGCAGGCGCAGAGGAGCAAACAAAGCGGGGAGGGATAAGAGGCGCGCCGCCGGAGGCGGTGCGCGCAGGCGAGGCTTTATTTTATCAGAGGTGCGTTGTCCCAGCTACCCCTTCCCCAATCCGACTGAGGAATAGGGACTAAATCCCTCACCCAGGTCAATCCCTTTCTGGTCCTCGCTGCTGGCTTCACCCTTCTCACAATATTGGGGGTGGCGGTGGGGAGGAAAATGGGGAATGGATTCTGGGAAACTCAGGATGCTTGAGTTCTTGATCTTCGATTCGCTTGTGAACGGCGCGCTTCCTCTCCAGGGCCTCAGTTTCATCTTTAAAGTGGAGTGACAGCATACACCTGCCCACTTGCCCACCTGCACACCTGCCCATAGAAGAATTCCCATTTAGCTCGAGCATTGGCCCGAAGATCTGATGAGAAAATGTGGAACAAGTGGCCAATTGTAAAGTGACCAGTGAATCGGTGGCATGAAAGTAGAACGTAACCATGCTGGAAGTCGAGAGGGCAGCTCTCAGCGACTGCAGTAACTCTCTGCGTCCTTCACACCCTCCCCCACCAGTGGATGGGAAAAGTACTGCTCCAGGGACTTCCCAGAGCTGACTTGGAACTAGGACCTCGGGATGCGGTGAGAGGACAGCCCAGAACTATGCCCAGAGTTCTGGAGTGTCACTGCCTCAGGATGGGCTAAACCCCATATACAACAACTAAACCCCCAGGCCAATCAAAAGTACCAATCTTGGTACTTCTAAGTACTCACTCTAAGGATTCTAGACCTGCTGGGAAAGGAAAGGAAAGGAACCTGGCTGGAAAAATAGTTCTCCTTAGCAACCCCTATGTCGCTCTCTCCCAGGTATAAACCTGCCCTGAATCATTCAGGAGTGGAAGGGGCTCTGTATTTGCTCTGTACTTTACAATGAACCATGAGGTTTGTGGATGTTTGCCTGACGAAGAAACATTCTAGCCTTGCCCATTCATTCATTCACCCATTCAGTATTTATTAGCCACCGACTAAGTGCCAGACAGTAAGATCCTGAGTAGTTTCTCTCCATTTTTCAAAGCCGCTAAACGTGAGCCGAAAGCACAGTATGTCCAGAACCAAGAAATTCTGGTCCCGCCCTTTCTGCTTTTGGTCTAGTCTGCTCCTCCCATCATAGCTTCACTCAGAGGCGACCACTCGCTGGAGAAAAAAGAAAGCCGTAGTCATCGCATTCTCAAGCACAGTAGCCAAGAAGGCGTGATCTAATGGTACACCACCGGTCTGTTCTGCTTCAGTCTTGGGATCCATCCGGAACACTTTCAGATAGGCTCCTCAGTAAGACGGCACTCGATTGAACCTGCCTGTCTCCACAATCCAAGTAGGCGGGTTAGCTGCGGCGGCTGCAAGGCCACAGCGAGTCCTTCCTGCGCACGCGCAGTAGACAGCCGATGGAGCCACCGATGGAGCCGTCCGGAGGGGAGCAAGAGCTGAGAGCCGTCAGGTACCGAGTACCGGAGGGACCGAGAAAAGGAAGAAGAACCTGAGGGAGGGGAGCTGAACCTGGATAGGGTCTGGGGGCCACTCTTGGAAGCCGGGATACAGGAGCATAACGGATACGAACTCGCAGGTAACAGCGGCCCAGGGACGCCGTCGCAACCGTCCCTTTACCCGCAGGCTCCTGGACCTGCCCTGGGAAGACGTTCTACTCCCACACGTCCTGAGTCGGGTCCCGCTGCGCCAGTTGCTCCAGCTGCAACGCGTCAGCCGGGCCTTCCGGGCGCTAGTGCAGCTGCACCTGGCCGGGCTGCGCCGCTTCGACGCGGCTCAGGTGAGCAGGGATGAAGGGGAACGCGAACCCGCCCCAGTCTGCGTACTGCCCCCGCCCCTTCTTCAGCCCGCCCCCTCAGTCTGTCTACCCTTCCGGACTCCCCCTTGGGCCTCCAGGAATGCCGGGAAAGCGTTCCATCCAGTGGGAAGACCTCCCCAAAACGGGTACCAGTGTGAACTCCGAGGGCTGATGGGGGCGTGGGGGGTGGGGTGTCTCCTGGGAGGGCCGGTGGCAGGTCCCAAGGGTGGGCTGCTGCACGGAAAGAACTCAGGGGCGGAGAGGTAGAGCCCGCCGTGTTTCCGGGGCAAGCGGAGGTGCATCCCCGCCCGCAGGTGGGTCCGCAGATCCCGCGGGCTGCACTGGCCTGGCTGCTGCGGGACGCCGAAGGGCTGCAGGAGCTGGCGCTAGCGCCGTGTCACGAATGGCTGGCGGACGAGGATCTGGTGCCGGTGCTAGCGCGGAATCCGCAGCTGCGGAGTGTGGCGCTGGCCGGCTGCGGGCAACTGAGTCGCCGCGCGCTGGGGGCGCTGGCCGAGGGCTGCCCCCGCCTGCAGCGCCTGTCGCTCGCGCACTGTGACTGGGTAGACGGGTTGGCGCTGCGCGGCCTCGCAGACCGCTGCCCAGCCCTTGAAGAGCTGGACCTCACCGCCTGCCGTCAGCTCAAGGATGAGGCCATCGTGTACCTGGCGCAGAGGCGCGGCAAAGGCCTCCGTAGCCTCTCGCTAGCAGTCAACGCCAATGTGGGGGACGCCGCGGTCCAGGAGCTGGCTCGGAAGTGTCCGAAACTCCAGCACCTCGACCTAACCGGCTGCCTCCGCGTGGGAAGCGACGGCGTCAGGTGCCTGGGCCAGGGGTCTGTGGTTTGAGAGGAGGGCAGTCATTCATTTAGCCTCTGCGAGTGGGAGGTGTCTTAGTCAGAAGGCAAAACTGGGGTTTTTGAACCTTCCGACTGCCATGGCACCCCTCCCCATTCTGAACAGGAAAAGCCTCTAGATTGCTAAACAGAAATTACACAGTTCAAAAACTTTCTTGAACCAGTATTTACACATTGGGAGAGACGCCACATCCCAAATCAGATTTCTGGCTTTTCTTCAACATGGGGAAAACTTTGCAATCTTGGGTGGTGAAGAGCAGATTCCCTCTTTAAGACAGGAAGTTTCCGTCTACTGCAGGCATTGTTTAAGACCGAGGCCAGGTTGCTTCCCTCGGGAATGGAGGGAGAAAGATGCCTGACTTGGAGGAAAAAGGGCTTTGCTGGCCCCCTCACCCGGGGTCGTAGTGGCATCCTTCTCGCCCTAACCTCACCCGGTTCCTTCCCCCCCTCCCCACTTGCCCTCCTCCCACCCCAGGACTTTGGCCGAGTACTGCCCCACGCTGCGCTCCCTCCGGGTGCGGCACTGCCACCATGTGGCGGAGCCCAGCCTGAGCCGCTTGCGGAAGAGGGGTGTGGACATCGACGTGGAGCCACCGCTGCACCAGGCCCTGGTGCTGTTGCAGGACATGGTGGGCTTCGCACCTTTTGTCAACCTGCAGGTCTGACCGACCCTCCAGTGGGGCACAGCTGGACTGTGGGGACCCCTATAGCGAGGGCAAAGCCCGGCCCCACCCTGGAGCTTCAAATAAAGAGCTTTTTACCCCCTCTTGCCTGGCGCTTCTGCCCTTTTGGAGATAGGGGATACAAGGTTGGGAGAGGTCAGACAGACATAGTACCCCCAGCACTCCAGCACCCCAGCTCTATGGCAAAAATGATCAGAATGCACTCGCACCTTCCTGGGGCCACCTTTACTATGCCCATGGGCAGCTCTAAGAGGTTAACACTGGAGCAAAGAAGTAGAGAAAGTAGTAGAGAAGGGGGGATAGGAGTTGGGTGGGCCCTGTTTGGGGTGCAGGGCTCCTGCATCCCTCTGGGATCTGAGCCTAGAAAGGCTCAGGCAGAGTCCGGCGAATGCCTCAGTGGAAACGGTACTTTCTGGCTGGCTTGAGGTTGATGTACGTGGCCTTCATCTCCTCAGCCTCTGGGTTCCGCACATCTTTGTATCGTTCCCCTTTGGTGCTCACCACCTGGTTGTCAATGTAACGGATCAGCTTCTTCGGAGCCTGTCAAGCAATTAAGTTAGGGAGTAGTAAAAGTCAGCAAACAGCTGCACTCATTCCACATCCCTAGCAGCCCAACCCTCTCACCTCCTTGGGAGCCATGGGCCGGTGAATCTTCTGATCCTCTGCACTGTCCACCATCATATACCTGCCAAAAAGTGGCTAGGTCAAGCTCGTGCTCCCTTGGCAAGCTCCTCGAAGGACCCAGCCCAGCCCAGCCCAGCCCAACCCAGTCTCACTTCTGCAAGATGAAGGACTTCAACTCATCCTTTTGGGGGCCTCTGAGGCGCCGGGGCAGGTCCTGCAGAGAGGGGAAGCCTGCTCGAGACGCCACAGCACTAGAAGTAGATGGAGCTAGAAATGGGGCTTAACACTAAGGTGGACCATAGAGGAGGCTACAAGGGGGGTATGGGAGCTGGCAGAGGGTACCTGGTTGGGACTGTCCCAGGCTGGAGGCCCCTCCTCCTTCCCCTCTACGAGCATCTGCACAGCTTCTTCCAAGTCCCCCCGAGCTTTGGCCAGCACCCACTGAGCCTGCTCCACTGAACAGGTAGGGAAGACCTCCAGGAGTACATCTACCCCTGGCAGCAGCTCCTCCTCAGCGCCGGCTGCCTGTGGGTATAAATGTTGACAAGAGACAGTATTTCCTTCTTTCCTGCCCCCTAGCTTCCTCACCAGTACCCTCTTATCAGTACCTCATCTTGGATGTCCCCAGCAGCAACAGAAGACCTAGTCTCTTCTTTAAGTTTTTCAGGCCGCTGCAGAGGATCTGGGGAGATGGGCACCTGACCTTGGACCTCCGAGCTCTGTGGCTGCATGTTCTCTTAAAGAGGCAGAGAGAATATCAGGTTTGCTAGAGGGTTGTGGGTTGAGTTACCCAGATGTTGACCCCTAGACTCACCTTTGTTTCTAGCACTGCTCAGTTGCCCTGAGAGCTTCTGCATCATGTCTCCTATTGTGCCCCTGAAAAGACAAGGAGGATGGTGAGAGGACACCCCTTTCCATAATCAGCCAGCTGCCTCCTTCTCTTGGCCTGAGCCAGGCCCTACCTTGGGATGTGTGCAAAGCCAGGCACATAGGCTTCCATCATCTCAGTGAAGGCGTCCATATCAAAGTTCTCCTCTGACGGGCCTGTGGGGCCCAAGTCCTCCAGGACCCCAAGCACATAGGAGAAGATGACCTCATCCAAGCCACTGCAGGAAGGGAACAGGACAAGCTCTAGGTAGGACACTGGCTACCTCCAACACACCCACTCAGCCTAAAACAACCCTCAGCCTCATAGGGCCTATGAGCCAGTCCTCAGGCCAGAGAGTAGCCCGCCCTCCCTCAGAGCTTCTTCCCATCTGCACAAGGTGACAGAGACAGGATAAGGCCATACCAATAAAACATCATCAGCCCTCCCCCACCTCAGGAGTTGGGCTGAGCGCTTTCCATCTCAATCTTTCCATTGGTCAGGGTGCAGAGCACTGCGCAGCAGCTCCAACCCTGGCCCTGGCATGATCCTTCTGGAAGAGCGGCTTCTACCTGAGGTCAGCCTCTGGGAGGTGCGCCTGGACAAAGGCAAGGAGGGCTGCACTGACAATCCTCTCCAGCTCCATGTTCTCTCTCCTTCTGAAAGGACACAAGACGTAGGGTTGTCAGGCCCTCTTCTGCCTGCCCTGTTCCACTAGGCCAGCTCTACTCACCTGGCCCACTGTGGAAACCATTTGTTGATGTTACCCATAGTTTTCAGTCCTCTAGTCTTTCCCTGCTTCCTCAAGCAGAGTCAGAACCCCTCCCTCGCCTTCTCTCCACCTCCTCTAGCCTGCGACAGGGCAGGGCACTTTCTCAGGAGACTGTCTCCAGGGTGGAGGTTCCTCCCACCCCTTCTGACCTCTCCCCACCTCCCCACTCCACTCCCTAGTAGTAGGCCCAGATCTTCTGGCAAGAAGACAGGGTCTTGAGGTCACATGCCTCCTAGTTGAGGAATCCCATCATTGGAAGGATCACTTAAGACCACAATTCCAACTACAAGGAGTCCATTGTCCAGCCTCCCCTCCCCCCACAAGCAGGTCACAGAACTGAATTCAGCCCTTCCTGAATTCAACCACCCACCCTCTGCACAAAAGGGTTTTTTCTAGCTCTGGGGCCCAGACAGAAGGGAAGGCTTCAGAAGGGAAGGCTTTCGTGACTTCTCTCCTCCTGCCTGTCCCCTGCTCTATCTACATAGGCTCTCCTTCCCAAGGCCTTTGCCTACCTCTCCAGTCTCACCATCCCCTGCTCACTCACTCTGCTCTTGCCACACCAATCTCCCTGCTGTTCCTCACACTTGCTGCCCCTGTTTCCCCCAGATGGCTCAGTTCCTCATCTCCTCCAGGGGTGTGCTCAAATGCCACTCCTGCAGCCAAGACGTCAACTTCCAGAGCGGGACTTTGTCTTACTCAATGCCTAGCACCTAGAAAAATGCCTGTACTTAATTAGGGATTCAGTAAGTACTTAACTTTATTCCTACTTACATGCTTTTGGCTCCCAAAGGTCTATATTTGAGAGTCAAGAACATGTAGGTGGTACAGAGTCACAGGTCCAAATGTCAGCTCATATACTCAGAAGACTCCAAGGTACCTCAAATACTGCCTACCCCGAAACTCATGCTATCCTGTGCACCTCTCCTTCCCTCCAAATACATACCTCTTCCCATTTCATCAGCTGACACAACTATTCACTCACTCAACTACCAACACTGAAACTTGGGAATTTACCTGACTTCATGCTTTCAGCTCTGCCTGCTACACCCAAGTCCTGTGGATTCTAATCCCCATTATTCTCCATTCCATCCATATCTCCCCAAGTCCAGCCTGGATTTCTGCTCCAACAGAATTAGGTAGAGCTGTCTCAGACTGAGATCATAAGTTTTCAGACTTTGGTCTAATTAGGGCAGACCATATGAACCTGCCATGTGCCTGTTTTTGGTTTACAAAACCAAACAAACAAAAAGAATTTATTTGCCCTTTCAAGCAGCATCAGTGCTGGTTTTTGAAGCATTCCTCTCTCCTGTTTCTCTTTGATCTCTGACCATTCTTCCCAGACTCCCTTCTGTCTCCTCTGCTACCCTCTGAATGTGGAAGCAAAGTTCAGGCTCAAAGCTATTCCTCCTCTCTCCTCACTGTGCACCCTCTCTCAGGAAGATCTCATCAGGCCCACACCTTATGTGCCAACTCCACCTTACCAACTCCCAAATGTTCAGTCCTCTCCTTCAGACTCCTCCACTGAGCTATACACATGTACATCTGCCATGACACCTCCATGTGGATACATGTCTCTCCTTCCTCCAAAGCTGTCCTCAGCAAATGCGGTGCCCAGGCACTCAGCCTTTCCCACCTTACCCCCTGGCTCCCCACAGCTAACTGGTCACCGAGTCCTAGCAGTCCTCTTTTAGCACAGCTGCTCTCCATTTCTATTCTCATCTTGAGCCTTCTCTGTCCCATCTTGAGCCTTCACTGCAAGAGCTTCCAACCCTTGTCCTACTATCATCTTCTCCCGCCCCCCATTCTCCATACCATCTCGTGTGATCTTTATAAAAACCATGTTTTTCTTGCTTAAAATCAATCAGTGATGTCTCACTACCCTTTAGTAAATCTAAAATCTTTGTGGTCATGGATTCAGGGGCTTAGCCCTGCCTAACCTGTCAGTCTAACCATGTACCACACCACCCCTGGCTCACTCCCCTTCAGCCTGGCTTTCTTTCAGTGTGCAACACACAACTCCTTCATGCAAGGCCTTTGTACAGACGGTTTCCTCTGCCTGGACAAGCGCCTACCTCTACCTCCTCACTCACTGTCGCCTTTCTTGCCTTCTAGGTTGCAACTTAAAATTCCCTTCCTAAAAGAATGCCACCCCTGCCCGGCTTGAGTTAAGTGGTTTGGTCTCTGTTACATCTTCATTGCGTATCACACCTTTCCTTACATAAACAAGAATTTGGCAGCATTTTATGTTTTTTCCAGTTTCTTCATGAGGACTCACCTGGCATTTTCACCAAAGTATACACAGAATCTTCTACAAAGCAGACACTCAATAAACAGTTACTCCCTAATTTGTAGATGAATAAACTGAAATTCAGTGAGTTTAATGTATTTCCTAATCATCTGGCTTGATTGTGGCTGTCAGTTTAAATCCAGGTTGCCTAGCTGAATGTATAGTCTAGGGATTACTGAGGATGGGATGATATCAAGACTTCTAAGTGGGTTGACATAGGGCTACCACCTGCAGTCACAATTCCAGTCTCCCCACAGCACAGGGTTCACTCTGGAAGGAAGGACAAGAAGTCCTGGCCTACCTATCCTATATGTCTGTTATTCCAGAGTAACAGAACTGCTCAGCTAGGCATACCAGGTCCCATCATGTAGCTTACCCGTCAGCCCCTCCAGAGAACTGTATCTACCCTGAGTTACAGCAAGTTGCTGTCAGTTGCCTGGAGGATAAAGGCATGAAAGCACAGTTTCTAGGGTATAACTCTCAGGGAATATGTGTAATGCCTCTAGGTATCTGAGGTCTCAGGTCAAGGAATTGTTTCTGGGAAAACTCACTGTGACCAAATAGTTTTCCTATTCCTGAGCCTTTACTCTAGCTTGTCTCCTAAGAGAACATCTTCCCTCCTCCTGTTCTTGGGCTGCCTAAACTTTATCCAGCTTTCAAAACATCCTTCTTTCTTTCACCCCTTCCTATCCCCTAGTCTTCCTCAGTATTTCTTTTCTGTCCAGCAGCTTTACCTAATATTTCTCCTACACAGAGCCTGAGTTGGAGAAGCTACAGCCTGAGCAGCGAGTTTTCTCTCGAGTAAAAAAAGAATTTCCATGAGACTTTTCAAATTCTGGATAGCTGCACCCCCTTATTTTCTGATGGCTCCAAATTAGGGTTCACTGGTTAGTGGTACCCATGTTGTCATGAGTTTTTTTAAAAAATCTCTTATGATGGTAATAATAGTTGGCATTTATTGACTGCTTACAATATGCCAGACATTGTTCTATGCACTTTACATTTATTAATTTATCTAACCCTTACAATACCAGAAAATAGAAAGACTAACATCCATCACATTATCCCCATTTTACCCAAAGAACATACAAGCACTTTAAGGTTAAGTAACTTTTCCAAGGTCACATGTAAACTAATGGCAGATTTACAATCAGGCAGTCTGACTCCAGAACCTTCACTGTTAACTACCCACTAAACCACCTCTCATGATGGTGTGACCCTCACCGCCACCCCCAACCCCATCCTCTTGTTCTGCCTGGGTGGCCCTCATGCATACCTCAGAATCTTTGCTCACACTATTCTTCCCTCTCAGAACATCTTTTCTTCTGCCTCTTTCTGCAGGACTCACTCCTCCCTGTAGCCAACCCTGACTACCCATCCTCACTGTACCCAGCTAGTCTGAAAATTGCCCCAGGAACAGGCACAGCCTTGCACTCTCCAGATGCTCTAGACAAATTTAAGCAAGACTGTAGAAAAGCGACCATGCTGTTCCCTTGGGATCCAGAGAAGCTCAAGGTGAAGGGAGAGTAGAGGCCATGTGAAGGAGGACTCCTGGGAACCAGTGTGTAAAATCCTGGGGCACTCAGAGGGTCTAGACAAGTTCTTAACTGCTTTTCCCAACATCTATGAAGCCTGGTTCCTCGGGCGCCAGTTCCATAACAAGGATACCGGAGGACATCACTGCACCCCGACCCCCAAGTGTGGACTTAGAAGAGCCAAGGACACTAGGGAACAACGGATCCCGACATCCAAAGTCAGGCGGGAGCACAAACGGTGGGAGGGGGGAGCACAGGAAGTGGGAACGCGATGATGGCGGACCCCTGAAGCAGGAGCTCCCTAAACAAGCTAGCGGGGTGCCTGTAAGGGTCCAGCATAGTGGGCCCGCAGGCGCAGGGATGCGGTTGCGGTCCCGGGGGACACATGACGAAGGAGGCCCGACCAAGCTGGGATGTGCCTTGAAATAGGCCACGGCGAGAATCACATATGGGGGTCCGGCGGGTCCCGGGGCTACTGTGGGGGGACACCCAGGACAGGTACCCTGGGTCAACGCTCTCCCCAACACTCCTAGCCCTGGGTCGGGGGCTGGAGGGGAAATCACCTGCTCCGTCGGGCGCCGCCGGCGACTTGTCCCGCGCGGTGCAGTTCTCATCCCCTAGCCCCACCAACGAGATCAAAGGCGGGGCCCAGAGCGGTTCTCTTGCAGAAGCTCCTCGGTAGCCATTTTTGAAAGGGGCAAGTGCCCAGAACTGGGCGGAGCTTCTGACCCCCCTTTCTCATTTGTCTGGGGACTATGGACGGGCTCCCGCGGCGGCCATTTTTGTTGTGGGTAGGGAGGAGTTGGGCGTGGGGTTCTCCAATGGGTGGAGTCGCAGTAGTTGATTGTGCTCCTCCTGACTTGTTTGTTGTGAGTTGCCAGAAATTTCCCATCCGCTTTATTTCCTCGGCCTCCACACTTCCGCCCTCAGCTTCTGTAGCTTTCTCCCCCTTTCTTGCCTCTCCTGCCCTTCCACAGATCCGTGGCTCAGGAGTTGGACCTGGCAGGCCTGACTCCCAGAGCTGACGTTCTTCCCCAGTCCCCAGTACCTCTCCCTCTTTGTGCCAAGCTCTGTCTTCCTTTTCGTGTCTGATCCTCTCCTTAGCCTTTCTATAACAGCGATGTTTCAAAAAAAATTATTTATTTATGCTTACAAGAGCTGGGGTGTAGACCAGAGGTGCGGTGTGGTGGGTGGGGTTTGGGTGTGTGTGTGAGGAACCACCAAAAATTGAGTGGGGAATGGAACAAACAGACTGTCTGAAATACACTGCAGAGAGGAGAAGCAGGATAGACAGGAGAGGTCTCCTGGGCCATGTGGGTCTGCTCCCTGGAATTAAACTCATGTTGCAGTGGCAATAGTGTAATAGCTCAGACTTAACCACTGCACCACCAAGGAGGCCCAGTTCTTGTCTTCGAGGTCAGAGGACTCTGGTGGGAAGATGAGAACCAGCAGTAAGGAACAGGGCTAGGAAAGGAAGCAGTGACCCCCTTTTTCCCCATATTTTTTCGCTGCCTTGGTCTTTCAGGGAAAAGAGAAGATAGGACTTTCTACTTTGGACTGTGAACTTTCTGAGGACAGAGGCTAGTCTGGGTGACCAGTACCCTACAAAAGAAATAATCCTGAAAAGTGTCTCCTCCCCGGGGTCTCCCTGGTGGCCCAAGGGTTAGTCTCAACACTATGAACCTATGGGCAGCTGGCCTGGGAGCTGGCCCACAGGGCACACAGACCTCTCCTGCCTTCCCTGCTGCTCCCCTGAGCAGTATACTTCATAGATCTGCCTATTCTGCTCCCCACTCTGTCTCTGGTGAATCCTCTCACACACATAACCCTAGCCTACACCCCAGCTCTTGTATGTGTAAATAAAAATAAATCTTTAAAAAGAGAGAGAGCAGGGCCCTCCGTGGTGGCGCAGCGGGTTAAAGCACAGCACTAGGAAGCTGAAACCACTTCCACATGAGTTCAATTCCCGCCTGCCCCAGGTGACCACATGGTGTGGCAGACCTCTCCTGACCCTCCCGCTGCTCCCCTCAGCAGTGTACTTAATCATAGTCGATCTGCCTGTTCTGCTCCCTGCTCTGTCTCTGGTGAATCCTCTCACCCTCTGCATCTCTGGCCTATACCCCAGTTCTGTACGAATAAATAAATAAATCTTTAAAAAAAAAAGAGAGAGCAAAATTCTGACTGCTGGAGAGAGGAGAGGAAAGGGGAAGGAAGTATGAAGGAGCACATTTGGCTTGGTGTCTCCCATAAAAATAGTGCAGCTGCCAGGGTTAATGAGGGGTGGGGTGACACTACTTTGAACTCTAGCCAAGCAGGGCCTTGGGAAGGGGTGAAGGGTGGTTCCATGCTGCCGGCCTCCTCCAGCACTTTCAAGACCAAGCCATCCTTCTCTTCCTTCCCCCAAACCTCCTAACCTCTCCATTGCACAATACTGATGACTCCTCTCTCCCTATTACCACCCTCTATTCCAGAAACTTTCAGGTTTCTTCAGTAAAGCTGCCTCTATCTCTGGCCAATATTCCTACAGACATCTGTGTAATTTTTTTGTCTCCACATCACCTCTTTCCTGAATGGCAGTTGAATGTAGATAAATAAATATCATAAGAAAGAACTTCTTGAACTTTCAAAGAGGGCTGATAGGAAAAAATTTTCAGGGGAGTACCTCTGTTTCCTGCTCAAACTCTGGAGGGTCCCAACTCTGTGCAGCAGATATCAGGCTCTGGGGTCAGAGGATAGAGACCCAAGACAGAAGAAACACCACAGGTCATATGCCAGCTGTGAGGTAGGGGCTTCAGAGAACCCTCCTCCTGCTTGGGATTCCACAGCTGATTGGAACTCAGGCTCTCAGGCCTTCCTCTCTCCCTCCCCAAGATGGGAACAGACTCCACAGACTCTTTGAGTATTACTTGAAGCCACTCTAGGAAAGAGGAGTAGAGTAATGCCTCTTTTCTCCCCATTCTCTCAGATGAATTTTACAACTGGTATTGGGTGCTTGGATCTTCTCAGCTGAAGGGAAAAGTTGGCAGCCTATGCTGAAGCTTCCCCTAGCACCCTGATCAGCCAACTTCAGAATAAGGAATTGATCTTGAATTGGGCTTTAAAGGGCAAATTTCCCAGACAAAAGAACAGAGAAAGAACCCAGACTGCTGGTCTCAAGGGGTGGGAGGGACCTAGTCCTAGACGCTGTGAGAAAGGGGATGCTTTGAGGTATAGAGGTGGCCCTGGAGAGGGGGTCTCCACTCTCTCTTGAGGTCTGAGAGGGTTCTCTGGGCAGGGTGCCAGGTCCTCCCACATCTTCCTTCCTTCTCAGAAGAGCCAGGATGGGGCGGGGGCGGGAGTTGGCTGGGGCTGGATGAGAGTCCTATTTAAGGATGCTCAGAGAGCATCCCTGCAGACCCAGCCCCAGGAGGGAGAGAGAAGGCGTCGTGGGTAAGTGTGGGCCCCTTTGCCCCAATTCAAGCAGATTTGGGGGTTTCCTCTGCAGGCATAGGCTACAGTGGGGATAGCACCCCAGCCCTCAGTTCAACTCTCCAGAAAGTGAAAGTATGTTTCAGGGAAGTCTTTTTCTTTCACTCCCCTTCCTCAGACACATCAGATATTTACATCAGGTGGGGAGATTTCAAGGAGCTGAAATCCGGGGCCCTCATGAGGGTCTCCATTTGGGGACCTCTTAGCTTCAGGGAAGCCCTCATCTGAAGAGAGAAGTCCTTTTTGGGGTATATGATCTGGTTCTTCTCTTCAGCTGCATATCTGACTCTACCAGGAGGAAATCCGGGCAAGAGATGATGGCACTTAATGTCACAGAGCCCATGAGATCCCTGCCATGGACCTGCGATCTCCTACATCAATTCCTACTGGAATCGAACCCCTTTCCCTATTTATGGATTCCTGTTTTCAGCTTCAAGTTCTGAGCCTCCCTGGAATAGGTGCAATCTTGAGATTCCAGGTTCCTCATCTGACCCCTGCTGGGGACGCAGGAAATTCACAGAACAAAGCTCAGGAGGGAAGAATCAAAGCCTGGAGAACTTCAGCCACCTGGCTCTGAGAACTGAATTCCATAGGCTGTGAGCTCTAGCAAATGCCCTAGGAACTCAGTTCTGGTGCTCGGCGTGCTACACTGTCAGTGCTGATGTCAAGGAGCATGGATGAGTCCAGCCCCAACATCTCAGCCAGGTGCTCTTCCAAGCAACTGTCTTGCCACTGGCCAGACCTTTTAATGACATCAATTTGGGCTACTCTTTTCTCAAAGACTCCTTCCATTGCTGTCATAGGGTGACCTCTACTTAGCTTTCAAGCCAGGCTCTCATTGCTCTCTGTCCCCTAATGAAATATGACTTCCTGTTCCTGCAGTCATGCTCTTACTTGTGTGACCCCTCTTCAGTTCTTCTACCTCCTTCCCATCGTTTCTGTTGGAATCCTATCCATCCTTCAAAGCCTCTCACATGCCTCTGCAAGCAGCCTTTCTCAACTCCCAAGTGGTACATCTGAACCTCCTGCAAGTCCTCCACATTCCTCTCCAGGGAGGCTTGGTTCATGAGCTCCTGTGGTATCTAATAGCTTTTCAATAAATGTCCTTGCATTTTACTGAGTTTGTCTCATGGGTTCAGAGGCAACTTAGCCTATAGTGTAAGGCCAATGCTAGATTTCCTGGGTGCTTTCCTCATGTGTAACCTTTGGTAAACTGTTAGTCCCTATGGGCCTTGATTTCTTTATCTGTAAATGGGAATAATATCCACAACAAGATTTTGTGAAGATTAAATTGCATGAGTTGATAGTTTCTATGCAAGACTTTAGCACAGTACCTGCACATGTAAGTTCTTAAGTCTATGTTAGGATTCTTCGATCATAAGCTCCCAGTTGGAAGGCAGGATAGGACTTCAAATTAATCTGTCATGCCTTATCAGGTGAAGGGTTCCACTGGATGCTATCAATGGGTAAGGCCAGGAGGAAGAGGAAGCCATGAGGATCGGGGTTTGGTGGTTTGGGTCACAGATTCTATGGAGCTGGATTCTAGGAGCTCTGTATTTCCACCCACACTGTGACTTTGTGTGAGTCACTCTTTCTCTCTGGCCTTGGTTATGCAGCATAATAATAAATTGAGGGGGTTGAACCAGGTGAACAGCAAGGCTGCTGGCAATTCCGTATGTTTTATGAGTTTTGAGCTTTTAAGCATTAAGTTCAAAGAAAAGATCAAGGAAGGCAGCACCTAGGCTCTCAGCACCCTAGGCTCTCCTTGTGCACCCAGGGCCTGGAGCAGGCAGTGGAGCAGCAGGAAGTGCTAGACTGAGCCAGTGGCTGCACCTCCTTCCTGATGGGGGTGTGGGGGCGTGGGTGTGCCTTTCCAGGTCAGGAGTGGAGGCCTCAGGGTGGAATGTTTATGAGCAGCCCAGCTCTGCAGAGACTAGAGACTTCAAGGATCTGGACCAGAGAGGATGGAGGAAAGGGGATACAGAATACATCTTACTTGGTGTGGTACTGTGATTTTCTTGAAACTTTGTTTCAAAAAGGATTCTAGGAGATTTATCAGCATGCAGACAATTTTCCAAGATTAAAACATAGAATTTGTGTATCCTTTCTGACCCAGAGATTTAATTTATTTATTACTATGTTAAGTTTTTAGTTAGAATTTTTTTCAGACCCTAGAAAAGTTGCCAGCATAGTCTAAAGAAATCTTGCTTATCTTCCTATCAGATTCACC